AGTTTTGGGGCGTCTTCGCTCTCCCCTCGCTTCCTCCCTTCCCCCAGGCCTGACCTGGAGCCGGGCCGGGAGCGGAGCCGCCCGGAGACGGGTAAGGCCTTTGCTGGTGCGGAGCCTGCCGGCGCTGTGCCCCTCTATGCCGGCCCTCTCCGCAGCGGTTTGCGGGGAAAAGGGAAGGGCGTTAGTGTCTGTCAACGGCTTTTGGGGACGGAAGCCGGGCCGAGGTCCGCCGTCGCCACGGTGGGAGCCTCTCGATGCCAGGAAGGGGATTATGAGGCCTGGCTGAAGTCGTGAGGGGCGCAGGGGCGGCCGCTACGGCACCTCGGTGTCTGGGGAGGGCAGCTCCTCAGCAGGCCGAGGGCGGCGGCCCCTCTGGGGCGCCTGAGGTGGGCGAGGGGCGTCGCTTTTGGGACCCCTAAAGCTGAGTGACGGGGCGGGACGGCTGCGGTTCGCTCTGGGACCTCGGGGTTCTGTCTGGAGGAGAGAGGGAGGGAGGCTAGCTGGCAGTGAAACGACTGCATTCTTTTTCAGAGAAATTTCCTCCTAAAGAGGATTTATAATTTTAACCAAGAGTGAATGATAGTTATTAATAAAACCTACACCTAAGCGTAGGCTCTTAAGTTTGTGAATTTGCAGTATCTTAAATTTGCAAACTCAAAGCACCGTTGCTTTCCTGCTTGATCAGTATGTTTGTAGAGTTGATAGCCTCAACACAATCACAAACGGTATTGTTTGGTTTCTTTAATTTATATTATGCCACGTAGCTCTTCACAAGCAGCAAATTTGTGCTTTGTTAAAGAAATGCTGGAATACATTTCTGAAATGTTTTTGTTATGTAAATCTCAGTACAAAGTTGTTTAACTTCATTTTCATCTGTGAGATTAAAGCACATGCTGGCCTTGTATTGTCAAATTGGTCTGTGTCATTGCTTTGTAATGCATAGTTTTTCTTATTCTTAAGGATCGATTTAGCTAGTCCCAAAACAATTCTTTTTTTTGTTCTTGTTCTTTTCTGTAGATGGAAAATGTCCAGATAAGTCAAAATATCTGCGAAAAAATAATCCTGACAAAAATCAAGACGTGTAAAATTTTCTTGTAGAAGAATATGCTTAGATATAAATAAAAATGCTTCCAGGTGAGCAAGAACAATTCTTGTCCTACAATGGCGAAGTCCTTGTATTTCATCTGTCAAAAGAAAAAGATGTGGAGGGAACAGACAATAAAACAATGAACTTGTGTGTCAGAAGAATGGCGTTTGACGCGGACACTAAGCTGTTTGTCCAGAAGTCATCTGGAGTGTTCACCATGCGTGCCAGTCACTCAAAAGTTGAAATAATTTGTTGTAGCTGTACAACGGATTCCAGGACAGGGATCATTCTTCCCTGCATTTTGCTGAAAAAGAAAAAATGGAAAAAGGTTGTCAAATACATTTTATTGTTACTTCACAGCTCAAATCAATTTGAGCAGTCCTTTCATTTTAAATTGGATTATGAGCTGAAAGAAGACATCTGGTTGTTTGCTGGCCCTTCAGTCTTGTGGAGGCATGCCAACAAGCTGTTCTACATCTCTTCCAGCACCTGCACAGTTCTAAGTGCTCCTGTTCATCTTTCTTCTGTTGTGTGGACAGGTGAAGTTGAGGGTGAAGGCACTGTTGTCTTAGGGATAAGAACTGCTTGCCTGCCAGAGAGCGAAGATGAGGGTCTTTCCACTTCAGACAGAGCCATCTGGGGTACTGAGTTTTTTGGATATACAGTCAAAACACAAAAGATGCTAACTGGCACATGCTTTATGCCTCATGCTTACAGCAGAGTGGTATCTTCTGTCTACGTCTGCAAGAACACAATGTTGAGAAAACAGCTCAGAATATCGCTTGTTGCCGTAACTCACAGGAATCAGCTCCTTTGGTTCCAAGATGGTCTCCCTAAAGGTGTTTGTGATCTTCCTTATCAGAAACCATGTTCAGTAAAAACAGCTGTAACCAGTAACAATGATTTACTATTTATTGTGTCTTTTGCCTCTGGAAATGTCTGTGTGGTACAGACAAGAGACAGTTTACAGGTATTTGTCGCTTTAAACAACTCTTCTTTACTACTGAATTTTTTTTATAAATATTGTCTCTCTGGAAGTTTCTGCAGCTGAAAAGCTGCATGTTTAAATTCTATATTTTTTTGTTGTTGCTTCTGATAAAATAAGTTGACCAAAGTATGAGATTGTTTTGCTTTCTTATGTCTGAAAATAAACCCTGGATTTTATTATTCAATAATACACTTTATGAACCCGAGCTAAATCTTCTCTTGCTAATTGAAGACTTCTGCAATATGAAAACTGAAAGTTAGAAGATAGTTATGAACATGCATACATAATTGGTATTAAAGTGAAAGTAAACTGTTTTCTTTGCAAAGCATAAACTTCTCATCGGAATTTAAAAGCCTTTGAGTCTCACTTCCTAGTAACAAACAGTATTGTTTCACACAAATTACAAGAAGAGGCCTTGTTTTTGTTTCCTGAAGTCAAGAGAGAGATTTAACTTCTAGGGTTTTGTAGTACTATGCCAAAAAGACTTATATTGCTCAGGAGATGAAAGTTTGTCCTATTTGGTTGTCAGCATTGTTGTCAAATTTGTCTTTAACTCTCAAAGGTACTTCTGAATTTCAAAAGTATATTGTCTTTAACTGTTCTGAAAGTATTACTGGTTCTAAATAAGTGTTACAGCGTTCAGCTGTTCGTCCGTTTGAGTACACTGAAAAGTTGTCTCCTCTGCCACTTATATTGTGGGAAGTAGACAAAAGGCTAATTTTTCCCAGAGTCTCATAAGGATCTAAATAATGTAGTGTGAGAGCCTTTGACATCTTAAAATACTGTATTCCACACCCCTGAATAGGCTGCCTCCTTCTATAAAGCAAGCTTTACCAAAATGAAACCTCAAATACAAGATTTATTCAAATATGCATATTTTTAAACCTCTTCTAACTGTAGGTGGCTTCCAAATGGCATAAAGTGAAGTCTGTTCTGGTGGATGATTTTATTGGCTCTGGAAGTGAGCAACTGTTACTGCTTTTTAAGGATGACTCCAATGCAGACATGTTAAGTACATTCAAATTAACAGATCTTTCAGCGGTCAACTACTCAGTAAGTTTAGCTTGCCTTTTCTCAGCTACTCAATCTGTGCTTACTAAATTAAGAAAACCTCAAGAAATCATGAAAGTATTGGTGCAAACTGAAATTGGATGTCTGCTGTGAAATGCCCTGAAGTTCAAATACAGTGTTCCCTGCTGTAATCATAAGTTAACTTACTGAATAGATTATTCTACTTCTTTGATAGCATCAATGTTCTTTTGGGAAATTAAAATAATGCAGTTGAAAATGCTTCACATGTGTAACAGGTTTGCTACAATGCTTACCTTTTGGCTAGGAACTCTTAATTATGGCCATAGTGCTTGTTAATTATCTTCTCATTATTGGGTCTTTCCATTATGTACTAGCAATCTCTAATTGCCTCAGAAGATAAGATTTTTCTTTTAAAATGCATACTGTGATTCTTCTGGTTTTCTGTATTTTCCCTCAGATTTTTATAATGCTGTGTAACAGCTTGTACCTTACTTTCAGTTTTTCTAATTAATTCAGGGATTTGTTTTGTTTTTCAGAGTGATATGAATTATAAACATGATGTTCCTGCTGCAGAAGGATTGCAAGAGAATGGTTTGCTTACTGTCCAAGCCCTTAAAACAAGACTACAGGTTTGTGTTCTGTAGCTCTGCCTCCATATTTTCTTCAGATTATTTTTCTGTATCATTACATTATCTAAAGGGTGAGGTTAATGATACTAGTTTTATTGGAGAAGTGGTTCAGAGAGAAGACAACATTAAATACCTATTCTTGAATCAGTGATACTCTGTTTCAGTTCTCTCAGTTGTTACAAATACTGGAAGGCTCTAATTTCATTTTAATTAAACTTTTAAGATAATGCTGGAGCCATCCTATCAAAGCTTTATAACAGTCACTTTACTTATAGATGTTCTGATGTTGTTAAACTGGTATTTAAACATTTACTTATTTGGCTCCATATTATGTATTTTGAGTTAGTATATTGCAAGGTTCCCAGTGAGTGCTGATGAGTGGCAGTTAATCATGAAAATAAAGAGCATTATGGTCTAATTCTTTGTCCATGGACTTCAGTAAAGATGGCTTTTACGTTCCACAAACTAGTGACTATGGTTATTTCATAGAACTATAGAATGTTTTAGGTTGGAAGTGACCTTTAAAGGTCCTCTAGTCCAGCCCCCATTTTATGAGCAGGAGGATCTTCAATGAGATCAGGTTGCTCAGAGCCATGTCCAACCTGACCTTGAATGTTTCTAGGGATGAGGCATCTACCATCCCTTTGGGCAACCTGTGCCAGTATTTCAATGTCCTCATTGTAAAAAAAGTTCTTCCTTATATCTAGTCTAAATCAACCCTGTTTTGGTTTAAAACTATTATTCCTTGTCCTATCACAACAGGTCCTGCTAAGAAGTTTGTCCTCATGTTTCTTATAGGCCCTCTTTAAGTCCTGAAAGGCTGCAATAAGGTTTCCCTGGAGCCTTCTTTTCTCCCAGCTGAACAGCCCCAAGACTCTGAGACTTTCCTCATAGGGGAGGTGCTCTTGACCTCTCATAACTTTTATGGTCCTCCTCTGGACCTGTTCCAACAGTTTCCTGTCTTTCTTGTGCTGAGGACTCCAGAGCTGGACACAGTACTCCAGGTGGGGTCTCACCAGAGTGGAGTAGAGGCAAAGAATCACCTCTCGTGACCTGCTGGCCACATTCAGTTTACCTGTCTTCAAAACAAGTATTTAAAACCTTTAAGAGAATTAAAGGCTTATACACTTTGCCAGCTCATGTCTAGTGTTTCATCTACCAGTCAGGATCTTCAAGTCTGTCTCTGCAGAGCTGCACTCAACCCTTTTGTCCCCCAGCTTGTATTGATAATGAGAGTTTCCCTGACCCAGGTGCAGGACCTTGCACTTGGCCTTGTTGAACCTCATGCAAGGCCTTGCAGCACTCAGCTTGGTGTCATCTGCAGGTTTGCTGAGCCTGCACTTGATCCCACCTGTGTCATGGATATTAAACAGCACTGGTCCAGTACAGATGTGTGGGGAACACCACCTGCTGCTCTTTCTGTTACTAGCAGTTTTATTAGGGTAATTTTGCAAAGTAGAATAAGTGAAGCTAAAATCTATCCTTTTAATTAGCATCATTTATAAAACAAGCTGGGGGGGAACCTGTCAGGGGCCAAGTAAACAATGGTACTATATCATTGCCTTTCTTTCTAACTTTCATCCTGTTAGTAAAAACCCAGCATATTCTCCAAGATGTTATTTTGTAGTAGTTATATTGCAGTATTGTGTGTTGGCCTATACCAAATGGGTAATAATTGATAAAATAGGAAGAATATTTTTAAAAAGGAGGAGAAAAAAAAGCTTTAGGAGATAGCATAAATTGCAAATTGAGTCAATGATGTGAAGCTGTTGGTAGTTTGCTAAGAGTGCTTTAAGCATGAGAGAGGAGGTAATTATTCCTGTCATTTGAGAATTAATGAAAACTTAAGTAGGATATTGTGGCAGCTTTATGTCCAGCCTTTGAAAATGAGGCAAATTAACTGGCAAAAGTTTAGTATTGGAAAAAAAGGAAGACTATGACACATCAGGAGAAGACCAAAAAAAAATACTTTTCTAGTTCTAATTACAAAATAGATAGCTGAAGAGATATTTTACATCTTCTAAAAGATAAAAGCTGTTCTTTGGAGAAGCCTGAGAAGCAAATTTATTTTGTTTGTTGAAGACACAAGAAAGTAGAGGTTAGATTAATTTCAAGGACCTTTTGAGGTCACTTCCAATCTTGCATTTTTACAATTAGCAGTTTTCATGTTAGAGGTCTGTTGGCTTTTACATGCAGAAGTGCAAGTTCCTTCCAAATGCTTTTTTTTTCTTGTTTCTGGATTCTTTTGGGCCATGTATTTTAAAACCGATGTCT